GCGATCACGAATTTGTTTTTCATCTCTAATCTCAATTTACGGATAATCTCAACATTACCAGCAAGTGTAGTAGCCATATAGCTACAGTCAGCTCAATTTCCTCACCTACCGTACGTCTCCCTGATTCACTCGAAGCTGCAATTGAAAAAGAAGAATCATAAATCGAAACCCTAGTTATTATAACATGTTGGATGAATACATCACAACATGACTAGATAAACATCATTTACCTTTTGTTCCACTCCTCCCTGCAATTGAAACAACAATCACAAATCAAACCCTACGATCCGAAAACGTTACAGATTTTCATGTTGAATTTTACAGATTTTCATGTTGAATCAGAAAACGTTACCACATGTGCTACAAGCCTCTGAATAAATATTGCGGCGAGACAAGACCGATCTCCCTCCGCGAGATACCTGCGCAACGACGGTTCTCAGAATAGGGTTCTCTATTATGAGGGGAAAATATGGTAAATGGTCAAATGGGCCTTAATGTAGTATATATATGGTCAAATTGGCCCAGCTCCATTTAGGGTTTCTGAAGTTTAAAACCGTAAAGCGCAAGAAACGCAAACGGGATTTTATTTCGGTTCGTTCTTTCAAGTCCATCAATACTCCAATTTTGCGGTTTATTGTTTCGTTATCAGATTTCGTTTTCTATTTTTTAATTAATCGGGTAAAGATGAATAATAAATAATAACAAAGATTCTTGACTTGAGAATGCGACTCACCTTTTTCAATTTTTTTTCTTCGGAGTTTCTGATTCTCATTCTACAGAATCTCAGGAAGGGAACCCACTTTTTGTGTATGTAATTTAAAAAAATAATTATGAGCGAAAGAATATAATTCCGTGGGTATTTTTTCCGGCGAATGAAGCCAACGTGTTGAAGTATGCTCCCTACGCGAGAGCTTCAAAGCATCAAAAAGAATAAAGTATAGTCGTAAACAAGAACAAGAATCTCTTAAAATGAACGTACAAGGAAGAACATTTAGTCTCTATCACTCTTTCTTTTTCACTTCAACTGTGACTTTTCAAATGGGTAAAAGCAGAAGAACAAACACAGAGAAATAGAGTGTAATTATCAACAATTTGTCTAGAAAATCCGAAATCTTGATTGGATTATAAACTACTATTGTCTCAATCACTGTTACAAAGAATCTTGATAAACATTTTGCAGTGGAGTGCATGCTCAAAATATGACATGCATAAAAGTAAAACGAGATCAGAGAATTGTCTATATTTTGAAAATCTTGATTGGATTATGAATTACTTCATTCGATAACCTTCATTGTAATTAAGCAAAAATTTTGGTAAGAAAGAGAGAATCTTTGTTTATGGGAAGAGTGAGTTTGCTGAAGATTCATTCAAGTAGACTTTTTGAGACTTCCAAAACACAACAAGAGAAGCATATTCTCACCCACATGGAGAGGAACTATTTTGGTAATATGCTCAAATCCTTTTAACTGAAGGTTTATGATAGGTTCTTCCTTCCCCGAAACCGAATAAAGTGTATCGAGTAATCACAACCATGAGATATCGCCTATAAAGTTTGGTTCGGTATAAAATAAATGCAAAGATATCATTCTAAGAACATAATATTTGTTTTTTCGACTTTTTCTTACTTATGAACAATATAGACCATATCTAACCACTCATTAAGCTAAAACTGGATATATTCTCAATTGCACATATAGTAAAAGTAGCCTACACAACTCAAAAATTTGGTACTTACAAACTCTGTTTCTATGACCTCATACTATACAATACGGTAAAACGCACACAAAAACTATTTGAAAACTCACGAACTGTAGACTTCGATCATAGAAATAGTTGCAGAAAATTACAGAATAAGAAACTAGCCAAGCGATAGATGAAAAGATGTTTCACTTCTACATATGTATGAACATATAG